CAAGGCCTAGCAAGGGTAGAGTGAGGACCTCACTGCTACATCGTCTACTAGGCTTGACCACACTATAAACCTTGCTAATAGTCTGCTTGACTATTGGGGACGTTAGGTATATTTGGTACCTAAGTCTCTGTCCACGTTGTGGACTAGTACGTGTGAGAAAGCACACGTAGTTCTGAACGTTCTAGCAGGGAACGCTTCATAACATTTGGAAGAGGTTTTTCTATAGGTCAACCTGTTTAGGTTTAGAACCACTTACAAGAAGTGGGGTCTACTTGGACGCTACAGAAGAATCAAGACCTGTGAGGTCACTTCCAGGACCTGTGTGGTTACCTTGGTACGACAAGGAAGGGGAGCCTGTGTGGTCATCCACGCATCTGTGTGGTTCAAGTAAAATCTGTGTGTCTATCGAACTCAAACACTAGCGGTTACCCGTGTGGTAATCCAGAAGAGAAGCCCTCAACTGAGGCACACGTTGAAGACGTGCTAAAGCCCTTCCCAGGGAAGGCAATTCGGAATCAAGAAGATTCAAGGAACTAGCGGTAGTCCGTGTGACTATCCAGAAGAACTCTGTGTGGAGACACGGACCTGTGCGGTCGATAAACAATTGATCAAGGGCCACCAAGAAAAGGCAAGATGTCGTATCGCGAAAATAAAGAATACGAATCGGACTCCGGAGATGAGCCGGTAGGCTATCAAGGAGACAAAGGATACATGACGCCGTTGTCATGGAACGATGCAACCAATGAAGAATTGGATTGGTTCGCAGACGTCAGGAATACACGAGCCATTGCATTGCGAAGACGACAACGGCTGGGGAACCTTACAACCCCAGAAGAACAGCAGGAGCTCCGAGAGCTCGAACATGACGTTGAAGAAATTCAACGGGTTATTAATAATCGGAAGGACATTGCGAAGGATTTCGAGGACGAATTCCTAACGCATACGGACCTTCCTAGGGGAGAAGTAATACAAGTCGATCCAAGGCCAGAGGACGCCGAAGGATCAAACAAGGATAAAGGACGGGAGGAATGGAATCCTCTCGGCATCAATCCAAGTTTACTAAGGAGTAGTGACTCCAGCGTTACGCCAACATCCAGGAAGCCCTACGATGGGTTAGGATTATGGAAAGGAGTCAGGACGACACCTTTGACCAGAACATCCTCGGAAGGAGGAAGGCCAGCAATGCCCGTCGAAGTACCACTACGGCCGCAGTCGGCCATGGCGCAAACAGGTAGTTTGGGAACTACTGGTCAAAATCCCATCAAAGCACGATACGATCCAGCCAATGGACCACCAGTGCATCCAGGACCGACATGTCTGGAATTCCAGTGGCAGGAATACCTCCTGGAAATGAATCTCTACGCGCTGTATAATTCTGCACAACCAGAATTGGAAAAGGAGGAATTACAGCTAGGCGAGATCCGACCGTTCGCAGGAGATAAGCGAACATTTACATCATTCCTCCAGGCTGGAGAACGACATCTCCAGGCAAACATCCACATATATAACGACGACTATAGTCAAATCACGTTCATCCTATCCCACTTCGAACCTGGTTCGGCAGCAGCAAAATGGGTCGAATCATGGGAAGCAGCGATGATCGCGTCTACAGGAAGATCGGATGATTTAGGACTTTATCGCGACTTTCGGATGACACTCCAAGAAAAGTATGGAGGAGTCGCGACCAAGGACCAAGCATGGCAAACGCTACTCGACAACCAGTGTAGGCAGAAGAAAGGAAAGGTCGACGATTACATCGGGAATCTCGACATCCTATTTCGCTATGCTGAAATCGATGACGACTATACCAAGCTCGTTTATTTCAAGCGAGGCTTGGAATCAAAGTTGGCAGAGAAAGTCTTCCTTACTCCGAACCCTCCAACCACGTATGAGGATGCTTGCGACAGTGCAAGACAAGTCAACGACCTTCGAAATGTCCATAAAGGAAAAAGCAACATCTTCGACTTCATCACGCATACGAATCAGGATGATTCAATGGATGCAGGAGAATCGATGGATATAGATGATCCCAATGCGATGGACATCGACAGGGCACGACGAATACGACAAGTACGGAACCTTCCAGTCAAGAAACGCCTATGCTATAGGTGCAGAAAGCCAGGGCACGAAATGGATCAATGTCCCGCAAAGAAGCCAAACATCGATCGAACCCTGCCCGTACAAGCCGTATCAAAGAAGAAGCAGAAGACGACTTCTTCAATAAAGAAGAAGGATGAGCGCGCATCTATCGGATCAAAAGAATCAATAAAGGATTCAGCCCGTGGATCAAAAGAACCCTCAAAAGATCCGTCGATCACGAAGAAGATGCAAAAGCAGATTGAGCAATTAGTAACGAAGTTGGTCAATGCAAAGCTTGTCAAACTTCTTCTCGAAGGTGACAATCGAGACCACCGTGTCGATCAGAAGAAGAAGGAAGCCGAAGAAGACGACGACGAACCTATGGATATCGATCGAATGTCTGAACATATTCTTGGCATGAATACCATTCGAATTGGTGCCATACGTACTCATCCATCGCATCACGATCAGACGGCCTTCCCTACGTCAATATGGAAGGAAGTCCTTATGTCATCACTCGATCTCAGTCAAAAAGAATGGCATGGTATCAAGGCCATTGTCCAAAGGAAATTTGACAAGAGACGACAAGGAGATAACGATGACAGTACTTCATCGTCTACATCTTCCTCTTCAGCAGATAGTATGCCTGACCAGCATACGACGACGTGTCCTAACCAGAAGGGAAAAAAGAAGAAGACAACGCAGCGGCAGTCGACTAAGTCAGGCCAGCAGTCTTCACCTTCCATTAACCAATGGATCAACCAGCCATTCAAAGGAACTCGCGAAGACTCTCGCCGTTCACAATCCGGACAAGGACAGTTCTCTGGACGATGCTGGAACTGCAATTGCATTGGACATCATGCATTTGAATGTCCAAAGACGCCTCGGATGGACACTACTTCCGAAAACAGTATCCGATCACGGTCACGACCATTGCAAAAGAACGACCGATGGAATGCAGGACGAATCCCCGATTCGCTATCACCCAAGCATCCCAAAGCAGCCTATGCACGAAACTCCAGTATTGATTCTTCGAATCCAAGCACTGGCAGTAATGCGAAGCAAGGAACTTCTCTAAGTCCCTCAAGCCCTCAAGTGCATCGCAGTGGACGTACTGTCGAGTTGTTCAACAGTGATTCTGAATCATCCAGCACCAATCAGAAGTCTTGGGCAGATCAAGTCGAAGAACGATACTTGTCTTTGGGCAGTCCTGCACCAGAACAGTCAAGCATCGGCACGAATGATCAATCCTCCACTGAATCACACGACAGCTCCACGCATACTGTTTCAAGAATACTTCCTTCCTCGAAGCGGAAGCGCAGACGGAGAAGACAGGATCTTACGGTTTAATTGCCAAAGGGTCTTGGCGGTTGGAGAGGGAAGCTTGTGTTACGAAACGTACCGTCGCTCATGGTCACGTGATCCCCATGGACAAGCGCCTAGAAGAGACGCCCAATCACAGTCAGGTGATATCAGTCACTATGTGACCGAGGATAGCCTCTAGTCACTATGTG